CCGCTCCCCCTCCGCTCCCCTCACCTCGCTCAACGAACCCCCGCACCCCGGTCGCAGCGTCCGCCACACGCACGTGCTGGAGGACCCTTTCGACGACCCGAAGGAGCTGACTCAGCACATACCAGACGCCTCCCCGGAGCCCCAGTTCGAGCACGTGAGCACCCCTTGATAGGGGTAGGGGAGCCCAGCCGAGGTTCGGGGGAAGGGGGGGCCCACGCGAGGGGCGGCACGCCGCGTCCGGCAGGGGGAGAGGCGAGCCGTGTTTTTTGGTGTATTTGGCGGGAGCCGCCGGGGCGCCGGGCGCAGGCGCCACGCAAGCACCGCTGGCGGCCGCCGGGCGCTGTGTTCCGCCCCGAGCTCGTCGGGGTGCATGACTCAGCACGCCGCGCCGACTCGCGGGCGCGCCACGTGCACATTTTTGATGCACTGTATTGGTGCCTGCATGCAGGGTGACAGGCTGGAGGACGACTGGGTGGCAACAGAAGACACGCGCCCCGCTGAGGAGGTGGAGAAGGAGGCGCGCAAACAGGGTGGGCCGGCGGCGCGCGCAAGCACGAGCGCAAGCGCTGCTGTGCAGCCGCTGGCGACGCCGCGCGTGGCCGGGCCCGCCGCGGCGCCCCGGCCCCGTCCGTCCGCCAATCGCTCTTTTCCGCGGACCTTCCCCTCTGCGCGACCCATTTGGACCGCATAGTCGGCGCGCAGCCGCCCCACCTGCGTCGCGAGCGCGCGCCCCGGTGCCGACGCCGCACTTCCCCCCACTGCCCTGCCCCAAAACCCTGCGCCCCCCCCCCCCAATACCCCAGAGGCTAAGTCGCGCGCCGTCGTGCTGGAGATGATCGGGGACCTGCCAGAGGCGGACGCGGCTCCCCCCAGCAACATGCTGTTTGTGTGCAAGCTCAACCCTGTCACCACTGAGGAGGACCTGGAGATCATATTCTCGAGGTGGCCAGGCCGGCGGAGTGTGTGTGTGTGTGTGTGTGTGTGCGCGTGTTGCTTCTGAATTCCGTGCTCCAGCGCAGGGTCGAGCAACAATGGCTGGGATGCCAGCGCACAGTGTGTGTCTGTGTGTGTGTGCGCGTGCGCGCGCGCGTGTGTGTGTGTGTGTTTGTGTGTGTGCGTGCGTGCAGATTTGTGTGCGCATGTGCGCGCTAGCGCTTGAGTGTGTGTGTGTGTGTGTGTGTCTCTCCACGTGTGTGGCGCGTGGCTGAGAGTGTGCCCGCGTGCATGTGCAGGGAAGGGGAGGCGTGCGGAGCATGCTTGGTTTGCCTTTGAGGTTTGCCATGCGGGCTGTGCTCGAATGCGGCCTGCAGCACCCATGTGTCTAGCAACCCCGCCTCCGTGGCTGCTGGTCGCGGGTGCAAGGGCTCGCTGTCTCCCCAAAACACGGACAACTAAGGAGCCCTGCTGCAGCTGCACACCTGCCGCCTGCTGCTGCCACCCATCCTCCCCCCCACTGCCCCCAACACACACGCGCGCACACACACACACACACACACACATATACACACACACTCATCCAACTCCCAGGTTTGGCACTGTGACATCATGTGATATCATCCGTGATTACAAGACGGGGGACAGCCTCAGCTACGGCTTTATCGGTGGGGGGGGGAGGGGGTTGGCGCTGTCTGTCCAGCTGTCCGGCAGGAAGCAGCCCGCAGGGCACCCAGCAGGGCACCCAGCAGCCTCATGCGCCACACTGAGCCAGGCATATACTCAGACAATGACATGACATGCGCGACGGCGCACACGCGCGTGCATGCATGGGCGCACATCGCATTTGCATGCGTCAAAGAGGCATGCTCGCATGCGCACACTCGCACACGCTCACGTGCATGCACACATGTACATTGCGTGCACACGCTCACTCGCATGCAGACACGCGCGCACAAACGCACACACACACACACACACTTATTTCGTATTCCCCCAGGCTTTGATACTGACGAGGCGTGTGTGGAGGCGTACATGAAAATGAACAACGCCCTCATAGACGACAGGCGCGTCAAGGTGCGCGCACACGTGGCTGTGGACGGGCTCGAGCGCGCGTCACGCGCTCAGGAAACGCGCCGACGCCGCCTGCGTGTGTGGAGTGGGCTTGTCTGTTTTGAAGGGGGCGGCGCCTGGGTTACGAGTTGGGCGGCGCCAGGACCGACAGGCAGGGGGAGGATGCGTATCGACGCCAACACAGCGAGACACACTTTCACTCACACTCACACGCGTGCGTGCGCGCGCGCGCGCACACACACACACACACACACACACACACACACACACGAACACACACGCTTTTGCCGTCCAGGTGGACTTCAGTCAGTCGGTCAGCCACCTCTGGAAGCAGTTCAGGCGCTTCGGCCGCAAAGGGGACGCAGCCCAGGGCCAGGCCGCGGAAGAACACGCGGGCGGGGGCGGCGGCCGCGGCGGCGGCGGCCGCGGCGGCGGCGGCCGCGGCGGCAGGGGCGGTAGCCGGGGCGGCGGGGCAGGCGGAGGGCCGGGCAGCAATCTGGAGCTCAAGCGCCCGAATTTTCATGGGGCCGGCGGCGGCGGCGGTGATTACAGAAAACAAGGCGGAGGCGGCAGCAGCGGCAAGGGGCTGGAGGCGGCGACGGCCCCGTCTGCCGGTGGCTTGGAAGAGCAGCGCGCCCCGCCGCGTCAGCAGCAGCGGGAACGCGAGCTGGAGCCAGAGCGGGGGCGCGAGCCGGAGCGGGGCCAGGAGCGTGCGCCGCACCGGGCGCGCCGCAGCAGGAGCAGGAGCCGTGAGGCGCGGCGAGACAGGGAGGCGCGGCGCGAGCGCGAGCCGGCAAGGGAGGAAGGCAGGGAGGCCACCCGCGGCGGCAGCGACGGCCGGCAGCGGGAAAGCGGGCGCGACCCCTATCGGGACAGGCACCACAGCGGCGGTGGCGGCGGCGACGACGACGACAGACACAAGCGGCGGCGCAGCAGGAGCCGCGACAGGAGGCGCAGCCCACCCCCGCGCCGCAGGAGCCGGTCAAGGAGCAGGGGCCGCGGGGGCGACCGGGACAGGGACCGGCGGTAGTCATCATCCCTGTTTGCAGCATGGCCTCGTGTGCTTCGTGCGCTTTGGCAATGCCCTGCCGTTTCTGGTTGTTTTGCCGTTTGTTGGGTGCTTGCAGCAGATGGCACTGTCCATTGAATGCATAGTCGGTGCATTGGGGGACACCTTGCTGAAAATGTATAGTGTGTTACCTGGCGCGAGTGGCGCTGGCATTGCTCTTGGCAGGCAGGGGCCACCTGGGGCGGTGCCGCTCTGAGCGCGCATCAATGCGCTGGTGTTACAAACGCACCGCGTGGTTAATTGGCCAAGATCGTCCTTGCATTCGGCACGCATGGAAACACTGACAGGGTCTACACAGGACATGGTTACACGGGTGGCCGCCCATGGAAGGCCAGGGGCGCGCCACGTGGCCCGCTGCATGTGTGTGCAGAAACCTGATCACCGCTTTTGCAGCAGCAGCCGCCTGGCCTGCCACATCAGCAGCGGATGTGCCCGCTGGCCTGCTGACTTGCCTGCTGCCGCCTGCAGCATCGGCAGCAGCAGGGGGCTACGCTGCCGCCAACATCAGCCGCCCCTCTGCCAGCGTCAGGCAAATGTGCGCTCGTGGGTGCAGGGGAACGCTCCGCACTCACTCCGCAGTTGCAGCGTTCACAGGAGCCCCGCCGCCCAGATCGCCGTCGCCACGTTTGACACGGTATAAACTGCCAGCTCAGCTTCAGTACCCTGTTACTTAGGTCGGCTCTCTGGAATCTGTTGAGAGATGCTGCATGAGCGAGAGGACGAGTCTCACTGCAGCACACTGCTGGCATCACGGCGACACACAACTGCCGACTGTGCCCTTGCCCCTCGCTCCAAGTCTCCACAATTTTTGACGGCTCTCGCAGCGGCTGGCCAGCGTGATAAGAAGCAGCAGCCACACAACTATGCACAGCCACGGACGGATCCCCTTGCATATTGGTTGCTGCAACACCCGCTTCGTTGCTTTGCCGCCGATGGCCCCACTGCCCCGGCAAGTTCACAAGTCTTGCCCTCTTATGGAGCTGCTGCTACGGTACGCATGCTAGTGGTGGTGATGGTGCTGCTGCGCCTGCTGCTGTTGCTGCTGATGCTGTGCCTGCTGCTGTGCCTGCTGCTGTGCCTGCTGCTGCAGCTGGTACGGCAGCAAGGGGTACTCCACCGACAGCTGCTGCACCTCTGTCGGTGTGAGCTTCATCTGCACGCCCCCACTCGCCAGCCGCAGCTCCCGCGGCACCCCGGCCGCCTCGATCGCCGTCGATGCCTCCGAAAGCAACGCCGCCTGCGCCGCAAGCGCCTGAATGCGGCGGGATGCGGTCGCGCGGCGCGGCAGGACGTGAGGAGCTCTGGATCGTTAGGCCAGGCCAGACGACTCGGCGCTCAGTGCAGGAGACAGGCAACGCTCCTGGCAGCAAAGCAGGCCGGCGGGTGGCAAACGCAGTCTGACGTCACGAGAGTCTCCAAGCAGTCGCATACCTGAGCGCTGCGGCGCAGCAGGGCGCTGTCGGCCTCCCGCGCCAAGACCACGGCCGCAGCCAGCGCCTTGGGCGACGCGGCCACCCTGTGCGGCGCAGGGTGAGGCGCAGGCCGGGTGCTGTCAGTTGGTGCAGGAATGATATACATTTCAATCTTGGGAGCTCCGGGCCACCTGAGCCGTGTGCAACCCGGAACGGGCGCCCCAGGCCAACCCCGGAGACGCGCGGCGGCGCAGGGGCCGGCGAGCGCCGACTGTGGGCGCCCTGCATCGCGCACAGGTGCATGTCATTGGCCATAGTTCCTCCGACAAGGGGCCTGCTGCTGACCTGTAGAGGTCGGCGTTGCTCGCGACAGCCAGAAGCTTCAGGCAGCCCACCGCCGCTGTCAGCAGCGCGGCCTGGGCGGCGTCCAGGGTCAGGCCCTTCTTCTTGGACTTCTTAGACCCTTGGCATACATGCGTAGAAGCAGACAGCAAAGGGTGGTTCTGGTACCCTCAGTGGAAGTGGATGGCGACAGCAGCTTGCTTGTCTCCAGCCCCTCGCAAGCCCCAAGCGTTCCTTCCAGGCCACATCCAAACATCAGCAGCACCAACCGCAAAAACAAGCGACGTAGCGCAGCCCGACTACTGATTATTCGTGATTGACTTCATGTTGGGTCAATATGCATCACCTGCCCCGCTAGCTGCCGGCGCCTGCACCGCGCCCATGACATCGCCCACAAGCACCGCCAGCCGGTGCGCCGCCAGGCGGCCGCTGATGAGCGCGCAGGCATCCTGGGACGCGGCCAGCGCCCAGAGGCAGCCGGCTACAGACGCGCGCGTGCTGAGGGACACGGGACCATCCCACTTGAGCGTCGCGCTGTTGCGGCAGAGCAGCGGCCCCGGCGGCTGCGGTGGGGCGGGCGGCGCAGGGGCCATCGGGGATGCGCCTCGGTTCGAGAGGCGCTTCAGGGCCGACTCTTTGGGCTGCAGTGACGCAGGCGCGTGCTGTTCCAGTGGTGTCTGCGGCTGTGGCGGCAGGTGGCCCTGTTCTGAGCTGCGGACGCTGCCGCGCACGGCCCCGGAGCGCAGGCTTTTGATGCGGCTGAGGCTCGAGGTGCGGCTGATGTTTGATTCGTTGCGCCTGCGCGCGCGCGCGCGCGTGTGTGTGTGTGTGTGTGTGTGTGCGTGCGTGTGTGTGTGTGTGTGTGCGCGTGCGCGTGCACGCGCGTGCGTGTTGTTGATTTTGACTTCAAGGATTGTCGTCCAGTTATGCCCAACCAGGGGGAAGGATCACAACAAGCTCTCCCCCTTCAGGTGCAACGTGCCTGCATCCACGCCCCTGCCTCACTTGATCCGCCGCAAGGCCGCGTCCTCCTGTCCTTTGTCGGCCTCGCCGCCCTCTCCGTCCGCCGCCGCAGCGCCCGTCGGATCGCTGGGCAGCGCCACCTTGCGCACAAATGAGCTGAGGTGGTTCCAGAGCGCCGCGCCGTCGCGGGCCCCGCTGCCGCTGCACCTGTTGCTGGGCGTGCCCGGCGGCTGCTGCTGCGATTGCTGCTGCTGAGTCAGCGACTTGGGGGGCAGCTGCTTAGGCGGCTGGGGGTTGAGGATGTGCGCGTAGGTGCGCTGCTCCCAGGCCACGTAGGTCGCCGGGGGTGGCCCCAGCAGGTCAGCCAGCAGCTGGATAGCCGCTGCAACGACATCATCCAGAATAGGGGTTGTTGCAGCAGCCAGCGTCAGGGGTTGTGTCGGTCGCTCAAAGCCCCGGATGGGCGCGCGTGCGCGTGTGTGTGTATATGTGTACGTGTGTGTATGTGTGTGTATGTGTGTGTTTGTATGTGTGTGCGTGCGTGTGTGTGTGTGTGTGTGTGTGTGGCATGCTGGATGCTTGAAGCAAAGTGGCGGGACCAGGAACACAGCATAACTAGCACAGCTTGCACCTGCCAATGCCCATGGCGCATGCGTGGGCTTCCAAGCACTGCGCGCACCAGGCGTCGCCAGCCGCCCACGGTTGCCCTCGCCTCCTGGCCCTTCCACCAGGGTGCGCAGTGCGCCGGCCGCAGCGCCCACTGCCGCCTCGCTCTTGTGGCGCCCCGCGGCTGCCAGCAGCGCATTCAGCATGCCTGCCGCGCCGGCCTGCTCTGAGAATTCCGGGCGCTGCGGCGTGGCGCAGATCACAACGGGGAGGTGTATTCTGTTGGAACTGTGCAGAGCTTGCTTGTGAGTGCTCTCTTTTGTCTCTGCCGCGTGCTGCTGCTGGCGATGCGACAGGCATGTGCACACGAGTGCGAGGCCATTGGAGTGACCCGATCGCACAAGCGCTACATACAGTAGTCAAGGGCCATCAGAGTAGGGCTTTGGCAGCGGTGGGCCTTCCGCCAGCGCTTGGAGGCCCCAGCTCTTGCTGCCCGCATGCACCCGCAACCCCGCGCCTCAGCTTTTGCCCCCCTCTCCCCCAGCCACCTGCTGCACGAGGTGCGTGACCACCGCTGACAGGCTCCGCACGGTGTCATGGCCCGCGGGGCCACCAAGGACGGCCGCGTAGAGGGCCCAGGGGGGCTCACTGCCCTCCTGGCCCCTAAGCAGCGCGGCGCGTGACTGCGTGCCGATGATTAGGTGGACATGCCAGCGCGCGGCGGGGGGGGGGGGCGGCGGAGATTGTCACGAACGCGGTGCGCATAAGCAACGCATGCACACGTTCCCCGAAGAAGGCCGGTGATGGGCAAGTTGCAGGCTGTGCAACAATTTGTAGCTAGGCCCGCTCCTTCATCAGACTCACCAGCGGCTCCGCAGCCAGGGCGGCCAGTACGTGTGCGGCGATGCGGCCGGCTTCGTCGCCCTCCCCTGCTATCCACCGGTGCAGCACCGCAACCGTGCCCTTGCCCTTCGCGACCGCCTCGCATACGGGGTCATGGCCTCTGGCCAGGTGCAGCAGAATATCTGGGTGTGCGTGTGGTCAAGAGGGGGGCCGTGTGGAGGTGGGTGCCCGGTACGCAGCAGGAACATCGATGAGGACCAAGCAAGCGACCCTGAGTGAAGGTCAAGCTGTTGCCCGTCCAAGCACCACCATTGATCGACATTCTGAACAACATTCGGTGCGGATTTGCTAAACAGGTTGGCCAGGCGCGCCCGCTCACTCGCCGCCGCGGTCGCCTCGGGGCCGCCTCTGGCCGCATCCAGGACGCCGACGCACGCGTTGACGGCGCCCGCCGCCACCAGGTCAGAGTGGGCCGAAGCTTGCATGCAATGATGCACGAGCAGAAGGCTGGCCTCCTGCCGCGTGAGCTGGCCCTTGTTTGAGCGCTGCGGGGTGCACATCACGTGTGAAGATATGTCAGACATCCAAGTGCTGGGCTTGCCCAGCAGTGGGTCGCGTTGCCGCAATGCACACACAAGCGGCGCCGTGCGTGCGAAATGCAGAAGGCCAAACCACATTAAGGTTAGTCCAAAGTGGGAGTCTCACCATGCAGGCCACAAGCGCGGGCAGGTCATCCTTAATCTCAGAGGTGGATTGGGCATAGATGACTGCGTGCTTCGCCGCCTCTGCCGCAGCCTCTGCCGCCCCTAAAGCCGGGGAGCTCTTGCCGCCTCCGTCATTGCTGCCTTTGCCAGCCTTGCCCGCCGCTGCCTTCTCACTCACTCCTGAGGACGACATCCCGCGTCTTGGTGCTGCTGGCTGCCGGTCAAAGCAGGCGCGCGCACCGCTGACTGCAGCAGCAATTGAAGCTGCACATGGAGGGTGCGCGTCAAGTCACGCAGTGCTTGTTCTTCGAGGGCTGCACACAGTTGCTTGTTTGATTGTCAACAGAACGCATGTAGAGTAGTAGAGCAGGACATGATGCTCTTCTTTCGATCATCATCGTGTTGCAGATCATCGCTGCCTGCCAGTCAAGACGTGCTGAGTATACAGCATCATGAGCGCCATACTAGTCGTTTTGAAAGCATGGTGGCGCGAGCGGGGGTGCCTAGGTCGCGACCCGGTATCAATCGCAAGGACTTGCAAAAGACAGCGCAGCTGGAGTATATGAAAACATTTTATGAGGTAAATATATGCCGCGCCGATCAGCACGAGCCTAGTGGCTCAAGCCAGCAGCAGACCGCTGTGCTGCCGCCAGTGAGCTGCTGCTTTGGCGCATCTGCAGCTGCATGCAAAGCGCGGCACCCGTGCGTGCGCAACCCACACCAATCCATCCGATCTAGGCAGCCGACCGGGTTGAAGGCGAGGATATCGTGGTGCAGCTGGACAGCGCGAGCCCGCGCGCCGCGGCCGCGGCGCGTGACGAGGCCCGCGCCGCGGAGCTCAACCGGCGGCTCGGCGAGCGCATTCGCGCCGCCACATCGTGGGACGAGCTCGTGTCGGTGCTGCATGAGCACGGGGACGACCTCAACTACATCAACGTGGCGCTGCTGGCGGCGCGTGCCGGCGAGCTGTTCCCTGGCGCTTCCGAGCCCCCGCCGTCGGCGGCGTCGCAGCAGCATGACCAGCAGCATAACCAGCAGCAGCAGGAGCAGCAGCAGCAGAAGCAGCAGCCGCCGCAGCAGCAGCAGCAAGCAGACTTGGACCGCATCGCCGCCCTGGTGCTTGAGCGCGCCTCCTGGTTCCAGGCCTCCCACTTCGCCGCGTCGGCCTGGGGCCTCTCCTCTGCGGGGCTAAAGGCACGCGGCTTCTGGCGGGGGTTCTGCGGCGCGTGCGAGCGGAAGCTGCCTGCCCTCACCTTCGCGCAGCTGGGGGCGGTCCTGTGCGCCTCCGCGAGCAGCGAGTGAGCGGGGGACGGCGGGACGCAGGGCTTGCCTGCGCGCTGAGCAGCTCGCTTCCGGGGCTGTGTCCCTGCCGGCGTTGGTTTGGGCGTCGCCCGCGGGGCGAGAACATGTGCTTGAGGTAGCCTCTGGGGGATCGACTCTCCTCGGGTGAGAGCACCCCGCCTTGCTACAGCTGGCTGTCCGGGCCATCCCCTGTCTGGGGACGCACCCTTCAGCGTGGCCCTTCAAACGGCCCGCTCCGCATGGCACAGCTGACCCCGCGTCGGCCCGCCCGCCCCGCCCGCCAGGTACGTGCCGCCCCTGCACTGGGTGGAGCGCGCCTACCGCCAGGCCAAAAAGCACATCCGCGCCGCGGAACCGGAGCCGCTCGCCCGCCTGCTGTGGGCGTGGGGCGAGTGGGGCTACAGCCCCCGCGACCGGCCACTGGTGAACCACATCAAGATGCTGCTGCGGCGCATGTTCAAGGCGCGGGCGCTGGGCGGGCGGGGGCTCGTCATGGCGATGCGCGGCGTGGCGCGGCTGGAGCCAGAGTACTGGCCCAACGCGCGATGGATGGGCGCGTTTGTGGCGACGTCCCGGCCGCACCTCCAGAGCCTGCCGCCAGGTCAGCGGCCGCGCGTATAGGCGGGGGCAAAACGCGGCGGGCGGCACGGGAGGGGGAAGAGAGGGCGGCGCTGGCTCAACCCAGCCGTGCGTTGTGCAGAGCTCGAGCCTGTGTTCGGCCCCGCCTAGTCCAGCTGACGGGCGAGCGGCCGGCGTGCGCCCTACAGCAGGCCTGCCTGCATGAACCAGCTGCGCCTCACCAATGCAAAGCAAGCTAAGCTCAATCCTCTCAAGCCTCTTTGCCCTCTCAAGCCTCTCAGCCCCTTCAACCCTCTCATCCCTTTGAAACCCAAATTCCATATCTTCCAAGGCGACGTGGTTGAGCTGCTGCTGTCACTGGCGGCCATGGGCCACCGCCCCCAGGCTGTCTGGGTAGACGCAGCCCTGGAGCGCCTGCAAGCCGCCATGCTCGCCGGCGCCGGCGCTGGCGCCGCCGCAGGCGCGCCGCAGCTGCGCTCTGCAGTAGCTGGGGCCGCGGCGCTGCCTGGCCCCGGCGGCGCGCGCGCGGGGGGGCAGGAGGCGGCGTGGTTGCTGCCTGAGGCTGCGGGGCCCGGGTTTGGAGGTGATGCCGGGGTGGAGCAGGCGGAGCAGTTGCTTGACCTGGCGCTTGAAGCTGGCGGCAGCAGCAGCGGCGGCAGCGGCGGCGGCGGCGGCGGCAGCGCGGCGTCCGCACGTGGGAGCGTCGGCTACCGCCTGCCCCAGGCGGCCGCGGCCGAGTGGGCAGACGAGGGCGACGACGAGGGGGAGGATGGCGAAGCAGAGGATGCGGGCGCGCCGCGGCGGCGGCGGCCGGCGCAGTCATCTGGCAGCGGCGCGGCCGCACGCCTGCAGCAGCGGGGGCGAGGCGACGCGTGGCAGGCAGCAGAGGACGAGGTGCAAGAGTGGGCAGAGGGGGAGGACGATCTGGATGAGGATGACGAGGCGCAGGATTTTGACGTTGATGGCGACACGTGGCCGGAGGAGGCTGAAGATGAGGAGGAGCAGGAGGGGGACAATGATTCTGATCTGGATTCGGCCAAAGGGGGCGCCCCGGCGCCGGCGGCCGGCGTGCTGGCGCCTGCAACGGCCGTTCGACCAGCGGGCGCCCAGGTGGCACCAGGCGTGGAGGGAGCCCATGCGGCGGAGGCAGCGGCCGAGGCCCTGAAGCCGCTGACGCCGCGCCAGCTGGCGGTCGTGGCCTGGTGCCTGGGGGCCCTCGACTTCGTGCCGTCCCAGGCGTGGCTGCAGGCGTTCAACCGCGCGCTGCTGCTGGCGGCGGACGGCCTGGGGCCGGATGAGCTGGCGGACGTTCTGCACGGGCTGGCCGGCATCGACGCCCCGCCCGGCCCCGCGCTGCAGCGCGTCCTGCTGGCGCGCGCGCGTGACGCGCTGCCGCAGATGGGGGCGGAGGCTCTGGCGCGGGCGTGCGCGGCGCTCGTACGCCTCGGGATGCGGCCGGCGGCGGCCGACGCGGCGGGCGCGGGCGCGGGCGTGCTGTCCGCACCAGCGCGGCGGCGGCGGCAGCTGCCAGTGGAACAAGCGGGGCCAGGCGGCAGCAGCGGCGGCGGCGGCGCGGCGGCGCAGGCGGCGACGGCGAGCAATGGCTGGGGAGAGGCGCTGGATACATGCATCTTACGCCTCGCGCCGCGCATGACCACCTCGCACGTCGCTGATGTTCTGGGCTTCGCCGCCTGGGCGGGCCTCGCGCCGTCACCCACGGCCGTGTCGGCCGCCGCCGACGCCGCCCTCTTGAACGCGGCCGCCGCGCACCCCTCCGCGCTCGCCGGCGTGCTGTGGGCGCTCGGCGCGCTGGCCTACAAGCCGCCGCCCTCGCAGCTGCACCCGCTGCTGACCGCGCTGCAGCCGCGGCTCAGCGTGCTCGGCTGCAGGGACGCGGCGGACGCGGCGTGGGCGCTGTGCGTGCTTCGGCACCGGCCGGGCGCCAAGTGGCTGGGGCTCTTCATGGGGGAGGTGCTTGGGAGGGCGGCTTATATGACCCTGGAAGAGCTGACAGACACGCTGTGGGCCCTCGCGTGCTTCGGGGCGCGGCCAGACGGGGAGTGGCTGCGCCGCGTAGCCGCCGCCGCGGGGGCCCGGCTGCGGGCGGCACCAGCCGGCGGCGGCGGCGGCGGCGGCGGGGACGGCGGGTGGGGCGGCGCGGGCGAGGAGGCGGGGCTGGACCCTGGGAATGCGGCGGTTATGGTGTGGGCGCTGCGCGAGCTGGGGTATCGTGGGGAGGGGGACAGCGGGCTGCTGGACGGCTTGGAAGCGGCACTAGCAGCGGCTGGCGACACTGGGTAATGCTGCCAATGCTCTCCCTGGCCATTTGCAATTGTGATTCTGAGTAGCATCAAGGCCAGTTTGTATCGCATGATATCTTCAGGATCCAGGCTACCGGTATGCTCTAAGAGGCTCAGAAGTCGTCCAGCACGACAGCATGACATCCTGGTGACGTGCTCGCAACGGCGGGAGCGCATCCTCGGTGACCAGGGTGATCCCTGTAGTGCAGGTCTAGAGGATGCTGTCGTCCCATAGAGGGATCACATATGCCACTTTTGTGATGAAGGGATGCACTAACCCGTTCTTAGCGCGGAGACTCGTGATCTCACAGCTGTCAGTACTCCCGCAGCTTGGTCTTTCTCAGCCACGCATGACCTCCAAGCGTGCGGCAAGCAAGCAGGCGCAGCATCTGACCCGCCAGGATGTGGCACAGCAGGTAAAGTGCTACGCGACCGCCGGCGCAAAACGCCCTGGCAGCTCAGCTGAGCTGACCTCGTTGAACCTGATGTGGTAGCGGCGGATGCGTGGTAAAGGCCGCGCCCCCTTCAACTTTGGCAGGCCGCAGAGATTTTAGCATCGTACAGCGTGCGGCCCAAGGCTCTCGTACTTGACCTGGACTACACCCTGTGGCCGTGAGACACGCCCCTGGCCGGGCTGGCAACCAGAGACGCTGCACATGAGGCCTCTGCACGGACGCCCAATGCGGCAGTGCCAGCAAGCGCGCCTTCACCCGGCCCCCGCGCCAGCACCTCCCTCCCCCTGCGTCCGCTCTGGTCATCCCCGCTGCGCCTGGGCTCCTGTGCAGGTACTGGTGTGAAATGTACGAGCAGTGGGCCGAGCCCGAGCCCCTGTATCCGCACGTTGAGGGCATCCTGGATGCCATCAGGTGAAAATAAGGGGGGTCAGAAAACACAACTGTATCAGGGGCGAAAGGCCTGGTCCGGGTTTTGTCATACCAGGGTTCATACAGGCCGAGAACATCGTTCCAGGACATGCTGGTGCTGCCAGCCCGTTATCCAGTTCCTGGAAGCCAGGGATTCGCGTGGTGCTTGGTGCGTTTGACTGACCCGGCCGGCTGCCACGTCCTGCAGGGACCTGAAGCCTGCTAGCGGCCCCCCTGGCTTCCAAACGCCAGGCCAACCAAGGGTCGCTGCGTGCCCTCGCCCCCGCCCCCGGCCCCATGCACCTCTGTTGGCAGGGACGCCGGCATTCAGCTGGCGGTCGCGTCCCGGACACCCACACCCCACGTGGCGCGGGCCTTCATGCAAAAGCTTGGTGGGCGGTTGGGTCTTGAGATGCGTGTGCTCCTTGATCCGCCTCCCTGCATCTGCACGCATCCATCCCTCAGTGTTCTCACCCTCTCAACATCTGCGCATGCGTGAGCAGACGTTGTTCACATAACATGATCTGCGTCTGACGATCTGCAGGTCTGACCGACAGGTTTGACAGCGTGCAGCTGATCCCGGCAGCCAACGGCTGGGACGCGCGCACGGCCCAGAAGGACCGCGCCCACCTGCCGGCCATACGCGACGCCCTGGGGCTAGGCTGGGGCGACATGCTGTTTTTTGATGACGAGGACGGCAACATCCAGAAGGTCGGGGTTGCCATATCGGGGTATCAGACTTCTATATTGATGCAGAGTTCATATCAAGGGGGTGTCAGCGCACAGCGGCAGTGGGCGGGGCTGAAGTAGAGTAGGGATGCGCGTGCGCATGCTGCCTAGGGCCGACATGGGCGGGTGCGCCGTGGCCGCATGCGCAACGCTGACGTGGCGGACGCTCGATCGTGCGCCGCGCAGGTCTCTCGCCTCGGGGTGGCGAGCGTTCTGGTGGACACGCGGACGGGCCTCAGCTTGGCCAGGTTCCAGGAGGGCCTGCAGCTGTTTGCAGCAGCCAGGGGCCGGCCGGCGGCGTCGTGAGGCGCTGGAATGCGGTCCCGTGAGCTGCCTCGCAGCGGTGGCGCGCGGCCGTCCACTGCAGCGGGCACCGGAGCGGTTTCAGCGGTCTGGCGACGTGGGAACACGCGGAACGTGCGTGCACCTCAGTGCACGTAACGTGCGTGCACCTCAGTGCACGTCACTGACTAACCCAACACATGAACGTACAATATTGCGCACCGGTACAGCAAATAATGTCCTCTTCCTTTCAACGCAATCCTTCTGCGACTATTGCGCCGTTGGGCTTGCGCCTCAGATGGCGCTGCAAGGTGCAGGATTTCGGCGTGCCGCACGCGAGGATTGTACAGTGGCAGCTGCGCCACCAGCCGCTTGGAGTGCGGCGCACACAGTGTCGCCGAGGCAGCATGTCTTAGCATGAATCTTGTCAGTGCAATTTATTGTCTATTTTGTCAGCTAGTCAAGCAGGCAGAAGGTCCACAGAACAGCACGAATGCCTCCAAGCTACCTGCAGGACGCGAAGAAGCATGGGATCAACCTGCAGGTGAGCTTATGTTGTCTTAGTGGCATCCTGTCATAATATTTGGGCCTACACGCGCGTCGTGGGTACGTTCGCGGCCCACATGCAACTCGCGGACTCGCAGAACTTGCGGAGCATCGCTGTGCAATCTTCAACGCCTGGTCCGGGCTTATCAGCGGCAGCACTAGAGCTGCTCAGGCAGCCCCATGCAGTCGGCGAAGCGGCGGATGTGTCGGCGCGCCTCCGTCAAGGCGCCGTCGTGCTGCGGGTGCGGCGCGGCCTTGGCACAATCACCCCGTATTGATTACCGGCTTCAGTAGTTGAGCCCCTGTCCAGTATATGCTGAATGTAGCTGCTCCATCTGTTTGTACATGCACGCCTGTCATACCTGTTCGTCGATTTCAGCAACTGCTTCCGCTGCCCCCGCACCCCGCCCGTTGCGCCTTGGGTCCACGCCCCGCCAGGCGACAGCCGCGCAGCAGGTCGAGACGCAGGTGCGCTGCGTTGAGGACGCGATACGCGGCAAGCTGACTAAGACCCGAGACCTGGTGTCGGCGCTGCAGGTTGGCTTGGCAGCGCGCAGTGGGAGGTCGGCAACGGCTTTGGCGGGGCCCCTTGCTGGGTGTTATCAATGTGATGTGAGCAAGGCTTGCCCGGTCCATCCCGAGCATGCAAGTTGAGATTGAAATGGATGCATGCGTGCAAGCCCGCTCGATCAGTCTTCACCAATGACTGTCTGATCAACCACGGCCGGCCGACAGGGCGCCGCCCACGCGGCGGATGCCGAACTCGCCGCCCTTGCGAGGTGCCAGCAGCGCCTCGTCAGCGCAGGCGCCCACCTCAAGTCCCAGCTCGGCGTCAACGCCGCCCGCC